CCCTGGTGTCTTTTATACAGGTAACGAGCTGAGATTAGGAGCACACTCCTAATCTCAGATTCTTACCTGTATAAAAGACACCTGTCCACAGAAGCAATCAATCAATCAGATTCCAAACTCTCCACCATGGCCAAGACCAAAGAGCTCTCCAAGGATGTCAGGGACAAGATTGTAGCCCTACACAAGGCTGGAATGGGCTACAAGACCATCGCCAAGCAGCTTGGTGAGAAGGTGACAACAGTTGGTGCGATTATTCGCAAATGGGAAGAAACACAAAATAACTGTCAATCTCCCTCGGCCTGGGGCTCCATGCAAGATCTCACCTCGTGGAGTTGCAATGATCATGAGAACGGTGAGGAATCAGCCCAGAACTACACGGGAGGATCTTGTCAATGATCTCAAGGCAGCTGGGACCATAGTCACCAAGAAAATAACTGGTAACACACTACGCCGTGAAGGACTGAAATCCTGCAGCGCCCGCAAGGTCCCCCTGCTGATTTTGTACGTTTGGCCACTGACAAAGAAATGATCAGTCTATAATGTTAATGGTAGGTTTATTTGAACAGTGAGAGACAGAATAACAACAAAAAAATCCAGAAAAACGCATGTCAAAAATGTTATAAATTGATTTGCATTTTAATGAGGGAAATAAGTATTTGACCCCTCTGCAAAACATGACTTAGTACTTGGTGGCAAAACCCTTGTTGGCAATCACAGAGATCAGACATTTCTTGTAGTTGGCCACCAGGTTTGCACACATCTCAGGAGGGATATTGTCCCACTCCTCTTTGCAGATCTTCTCCAAGTCATTAAGGTTTCGAAGCTGACGTTTGGCAACTTGAAACTTCAGCTCCCTCCACAGATTTTCAATGGGATTAAGGTCTGGAGACTGGCTAGGCCACTCCAGGACCTTAATGTGCTTCTTCTTGAGCCACTCCTTTGTTGCCTTGGCCGTGCGTTTTGGGTCATTGTCATGCTGGAATACCCATCCACGACCCATTTTCAATGACCTGCTGAGGGAAGGAGGTTCTCACCCAAGATTTGACGGTACATGGCCCTGTCCATCGTCCCTTTGATGCGGTGAAGTTGTCCTGTCCCCTTAGCAGAAAAACACCCCCAAAGCATAATGTTTCCACCTCCATGTTTGATGGTGGGGATGGTGTTCTTGGGGTCATAGGCAGCATTCCTCCTCCTCCAAACATGGCGAGTTGAGTTGATGCCAAAGAGCTCCATTTTGGTCTCATCTGACCACAACACTTTCACCCAGTTCTCCTCTGCATCATTCAGATGTTCATTGGCAAACTTCAGACGGGCATGTATATGTGCTTTCTTGAGCAGGGGGAGCCTGCGGGCGCTGCAGGATTTCAGTCCTTCACGGCGTAGTGTGTTACCAATTGTTTTCTTGGTGACTATGGTCCCAGCTGCCTTGAGATCATTGACAACATCCTCCCGTGTAGTTCTGGGCTGATTCCTCACCGTTCTCATGATCATTGCAACTCCACGAGGTGAGATTTTGCATGGAGCCCCAGGCCGAGGGAGATTGACAGTTCTTTTGTGTTTCTTCCATTTGCGAATAATCGCACCAACTGTTGTCACCTTCTCACCAAGCTGCTTGGCGATGGTCTTGTAGCCCATTCCAGCCTTGTGTAGGTCTACAATCTTGTCCCTGACATCCTTGGAGAGCTCTTTGGTCTTGGCCATGGTGGAGAGTTTGGAATCTGATTGATTGATTGCTTCTGTGGACAGGTGTCTTTTATACAGGTAACAAACTGAGATTAGGAGCACTCCCTTTAAGAGTGGGTTCCTAATCTCAGCTCGTTACCTGTATAAAAGACACCTGGGAGCCAGAAATCTTTCTGATTGAGAGGGGGTCAAATACTTATTTCCCTCATTAAAATGCAAATCAATTGATAACATTTTTGACATGCGTTTTTCTGGATTTTTTTGTTGTTATTCTGTCTCTCACTGTTCAAATAAACCTACCATTAAAATTATAGACTGATCATTTCTTTGTCAGTGGGCAAACGTACAAAATCAGCAGGGGATCAAATACTTTTTTCCCTCACTGTAAATGGCTCTCAATACTTATGTAAATAAGGGATCTGTTTTTTATTTTTAATACATTTGCAAAAATGTCTAAAAACCTGTTTTCGCTTTGTCATCATTGGGTATTGTGTGTAGATTGATTAGGAAAAAATTTAATTTAATCAATTTTAGAATAAGGCTGTAATGTAACAAAATGTGGAAAAAGGGAAGGGGTCTGAATACTTTCCAAATGCACTGTATAGCCAGAAAAACAGTCTTTTTTGGTGCTATATAGAACCTTTTTTAAATGGTTATTTTAGAACCTTAGGAAAGGGTTCTTTATAGCACCAGACAGGTTCCACTTAGAACCTTTGTTCCGCTATGGTTACAAGCCAAAGAACACTTATTTGGCACTATATAGAACCATTTGTTTTTAGTGTGTACTATGACCACTAAAAAAACTTTTAGATAGCAGAAGCAAGCATAGAAGTTGTTTCAGAATTGTAGCTCTCCTTCCATCACTGTAAGTAGTTAACAGAAAGGAATAGCCTTGACCTGGGTCACCATGTCCTCCTGTGGGACTGACAGATAGAGCCATTGACATGAGGGAGCTAATAACTGTAGCTAGCTAGCTGCTTGCATAGCGTCTGAACTATACTTCTGTAGAACGTTGTGTATCAGAGACTCCACAGACTTTTAGAACTGAGCTAAAGAAGCCCACAACAAAGCTAGCGAGAGAGAGACAAAGCTATTTCACAACCTCACACTCCTGCACTGACACTGACACAGAAACAGGGAAAACAATGTTTAGCTCCCAGAATAAGTGGCTGGCTAATTGTTCTGGAGTTTCTTTCTTTCATTATATTTTATGGGGGTTGAGAGCAGGGCGACCTTCTTAACGGATCATTTGGATTCTGGCACAAAGGATTAACAAGTAGTAATGTAGCGCTATCTACGTTGCTACACATACACTGATAATAGAGATGGGCAATTACATGTATTTGAAATATGTATGTAATTAATTTGGAGTATTTTGTAATTTGTGTTACACCACTGGCCTGAACTATAATCCAATGTATTTTGTAACAAGATACTTTAGAGAGTTGTAATTTGTATTTTTAAAATACAAAATACTTATCTAGATTTGTTTTTATAGCAGTTGACAATTTTGTGGCCCCCTTTCACCCCGCATTGGTATCAGAAGTCTAATGGCACTATGGTGTGATGAGAGCATCATCTAAATGACAAAAACGTAAATGTGAAAAATAACACTTGCAAAGGACGTGGGTATTATTCTAATAATCTCCACCCCCGAAAAAAGGCCAATAATAATACCCATTGTGCTTTGCAATTCATTTTTACATTAACATTTACATTTTGGTCATTTAGCAGAAGCTCTTATCCAGAGTGACTTACAGCCAGTGCATTCAACTAAGTTAGATTTAAAAAACACTTCACAGTCACACATTGGTCTGTTTGGTATTTTTTGTATTTGTAACAAGATCTATCTTTTGTCCATACAGTGGGGGAAAAAAGTATTTAGTCAGCCACCAATTGTGCAAGTTCTCCCACTTAAAAATATGAGAGAGGCCTGTAATTTTCATCATAGGTACACGTCAACTATGACAGACAAATTGAGAATTTTTTTTCCAGAAAATCACATTGTAGGATTTTTAATTAATTTATTTTCAAATTATGGTGGAAAATAAATATTTGGTCACCTACAAACAAGCAAGATTTCTGGCTCTCGCAGACCTGTAACTTCTTCTTTAAGAGGCTCCTCTGTCCTCCACTCGTTACCTGTATTAATGGCACCTGTTTGAACTTGTTATCAGTATAAAAGACACCTGTCCACAACCTCAAACAGTCACACTCCAAACTCCACTATGGCCAAGACCAAAGAGCTGTCAAAGGACACCAGAAACAAAATTGTAGACCTGCACCAGGCTGGGAAGACTGAATCTGCAATAGGTAAGCAGCTTGGTTTGAAGAAATCAACTGTGGGAGCAATTATTAGGAAATGGAAGACATACAAGACCACTGATAATCTCCCTCGATCTGGGGAGATCTCACCCCGTGGGGTCAAAATGATCACAAGAACGGTGAGCAAAAATCCCAGAACCACACGGGGGGACCTAGTGAATGACCTGCAGAGAGCTGGGACCAAAGTAACAAAGCCTACCATCAGTAACACACTACGCCGCCAGGGATTCAAATCCTGCAGTGCCAGACGTGTCCCCCTGCTTAAGCCAGTACATGTCCAGGCCCGTCTGAAGTTTGCTAGAGTGCATTTGGATGATCCAGAAGAGGATTGGGAGAATGTCATATGGTCAGATGAAACCAAAATATAACTTTTTGGTAAAAACCCAACTCGTCGTGTTTGGAGGTCTGCATGGATGAATGGGCCAAAATACCAGCAACAGTGTGTGAAAACCTTGTGAAGACTCACAGAAAACGTTTGACCTGTGTCATTGCCAACAAAGGGTATATAACAAAGTATTGAGAAACTTTTGTTATTGACCAAATACTTATTTTCCACCATAATTTGCAAATAAATTCATAAAAAATCCTACAATGTGATTTTCTGGATTTTTTTTCTCATTTTGTCTGTCATAGTTGATGTGTACCTATGATGAAAATTACAGGCCTCTCTCATCTTTTTAAGTGGGAGAACTTGCACAATTGGTGGCTGACTAAATACTTTTTCCCCCCACTGTATATGAAGGATAATTACACAGTGAATCTGGAACTGATGCAACGTGACACTATGCCAAGTTAATTAGCCCGCAGGTAAATCCACAGGAGCCTATTCACAACTCGGATGGATGTCCTCGGTTATATCACACTGTGGTTTCTTGGAAAATAATGATCTTTGCTGCATAATAGTCTCTATTTGTCTTTTCACACGTTCATATGAAGACTTTACATACAAATTCAAGCTTCTCACAATTGATACATTGAGGCCCATTGTGGGGTCAAAGTGAGAATGTCATACTCACCTTCATAAATATAGACACTATGACCAGTCCGTTGGGGCTCTTGGCTGCCTCTGTGTAGTTTGTATACAGCTCGTGGTTGTAGTGTATAAGTTGAACCTGGAGATGAAAAAACAAATGTCAGGAACACATCTCTCTCAAGTGACCTCACACATACAGTGCATTCGGAAATTATTCAGACCCCTTGACTTTTTCCATAATTTGTTACGTTACAGCCTTATTCTAAAATTGATTAAATTATTTATTTTTACACCATAATGACAAAGCGAAAACAGGTTTTTAGAAATGTTTGCCTTATTTACATAAGTATTCAGACCCTTTGCTATGAGACTTGAAATTGAGCTCATGTGCATCCTGTTTCCACTGATCATCCTTGACATGTTTCTACAACTTGATTTGAGTCCACCTATGGTAAATTCAATTCATTGGACAAGATTTAGAAAGGCACACAACTGTCTATATAAGGTCCCACAGATGACAGTGCACGTCAGAGCAAAAACCAAGCCATGAGGTCAAAGGAATTGTCTGTAGAGCAGTCCCCAAGAACAAACTGGCCTCCATCATTCTTAAATGGAAGAAGTTTGGAACCACCAAGACTAGAGCTGGCCGCCTGGCCAAACTGAGCAATCGGGGGAGAAGGGCCTTGGTCAGGGAGGTGACCAAGAACCCGATGGTCACTCTGACAGAGCTCCAGAGTTCCTCTGTGGAGATGGGATAAACTCCCAGAAGGACAACCATCTCTGCAGCACTCCACCAATCAGGCCTTTATGGTAGAGTGGCCAGACGGAAGCCACTCCTCAGTAAAAGGCACACGACAGCCCGCTTGGAGTTAACCAAAAGGCACCTAAAGACTCTCAGACCATGAGAAACAAGATTCTCTGGTCTGATGAAACGAAGATTGAACTCTTTGGCCTGAATGCCAAGCGTCACATCTGGAAGAAACTTGGCACCATCCCTATGGTGAAGCATGGTAGTGGCAGCATCATGCTGTGGGGTTGTTTTCAGCGGCAGGGACTGGGAGACTAGTCAGGATCGAGGCAAAGATGAACGGAGCAAAGTACAGAGAGATCCTTGATGAAAACCTGCTCCAGAGCACTCAGAACCTCAGGCTGGGGCGAAGGTTCACCTTCCAACAGGACAACGACCCTAAGCACACAGCAAAGACAACGCAGGAGTGGCTTTTGAACAAGTCTCTGAATGTCCTTGAGTGGCCCAGCCAGAGCCTGGATTTGTACCTGATCTAATATCTCTGGAGAGACCTGAAAATAGCTGTGCAGCGACGCTCCCCATCCAACCTGACAGAGCATGAGAGGATCTGCATAGAAGAATGGGATAAACTCCCCAAATACAGGTGTGCCAAGCGTGTAGCGTCATACCCAAGAAGACTCAAGACTGTAATCGCTGCCAAAGGTGCTTCAACAATGCACTGAGTAAAGTGTCTGAATACTTATGGAAATGTCATATTGATTTTTTATTTATTTTAAATACATTTGCTAAAATGTCTAAAAACCGTTTTTTGCTTTGTCATTATGGGGTATTCCGTGTAGATTGATGACGGAAAAAAACAATTTAATCAATTTTAGAAGAAGGCTTTAACGTAACAAAATGTGGAAAAAGTCAAGGGGTCTGAATACTTTCCGAAGGCACTGTATAGACTGTATTAATGGTCATCTGGTCTGGTCTTGAGGAGCTCCTGTGTGCAGGCTTCTGTTCAAGCCCAGCACTAACAAAGCTTTTTGCACATAATAAAGTTCTGCTGAGCAAAGATGAATCAGGTACATCTTAAACAAACGCCTTCACACCTACAAACTCTTCTGAAACCAGGGATGGTTGGCCTCCACTGTTCATATCTTCTGTTTTGTCAGCCTTTTGAAGTCGTGTTCAGGAAGGCATCAGTAATGTTCTACCCACACTTTTATGGTTCTACAGGTTCTTAATGATGTGTTTATGTGGGCTTTGTCTATGCACAGTTAGCTCAAATTGTGACTTATACAATAACAACTATTCAAAGAGAAGCCCACACTGTCTTTCACCAAGCACTTATGATTTCTCTGAAACCCAAAGAAACTGTGGAAAAAGTTCTCACACAAGACTATTATTTCACATATTTTCTACTTCGCTTGAATTTTGCACTAAGTGGAAAGATGCTGTGTGTTTGCAGATAAACAAATATTCAGAAGTTGATTCTACTCCATACATTCTTCCTGACCTCTCCTCAGTCTTTCTTGAGTTAGCGGTATTGTTGCTGGACCTTGAGTCCGTATTTGGTTGTTGTCTGAGTCTCTAGTCGCGCTGCATTTCTAACCTATAAAAAGTTTAGTGGTTGTTTCTTTTACCACATATATGTCTATGACTCAGGAAGGATTCAGTTTGAATGATATGCTAAAAATGACAATAATACCCTTTTTTAATTTAATAATTTCTCAAATGTTTCAGATCCCTTCCATCTTCCATCACACCATACAGAGTAGGCTACTTATGGGGTAGTACAATACATGTTTGAATACAGAATTGGATAAGAGGACATCATAATCTCTATTTGAATGTAATATTATATATTATGTCAACTACAAATTAATCAATCCTGATCTGATTACAAATAACTAAGAAGTTGACATTTTTCCAGATCTTCCAGAACTTTCTCCCTCTTCCTCCCATTTCACCGTTCCCTGGCATGGTGGCAGGCAGCAATATCGATAAAGAAATTGTCGGAGGATAGTAGTTAAGCAGAACTCTAACAGCTCGTCTATAAAAATAATCAAGTTGATGGGAAGTGATTAGATGATATTTGAGGTGAGAGAGAGAGCCAGGCTCCCCAACTCCCCCAGCAGGAGATTGGTAGAAAGTTTAGTTTGCGAGAGGCGAAGGCCTGGGTGAACTGTAGAGGAGGTACATCACAGACACTGCCAAGAGCAACACACAGACAGACTGGAGGGCTGGAAAAGTAGTAATGACAGGGAATGAGAGAGAAAGAGTGAAAGGGGAGAGAAACATACAAAGGATGGGGTAAAGGAGTAAAATAACAACCATGATCTTACACACACAAACACGCATGCATGGCCACACAGAAACAGCAAATGGGGAATTTCCTGTCATCAGCCATTAGTTTCCCACTCTAACCCCAGGTGTTCTGCCTTTTGACTGTTATCCTGAGAGCCAGAGAGACTCTGTCTGGGCCGAGAGGAGAGAGAAAGAGAGAGTGAGTGGAGAGAAAGAAAGATAATTTGTGTAGACAGAGAACAAGAGATAGAGACTAAGAGAGAGAGATGGAAAGAAAGAGTGTTTGTATGTGAAAGAGAGGGACAAGAGAAAAAGAGAGAGAAAGAGGTGTCAGGGTTGCGTGCCCAGACAGCATTGCTCTGGAGTGGGGCTCTGGCAGGCTCTTTATGGCGTGATGACTGGGCTAGGCCTGGGTTTGGGGAAATATGAAGACAGTAAGTCGATAGCAGAAGAGAGGTGGACAGTGCTAACAGGGAGAGTGAAAGGCGCTGGTCTGAAAATTATTCTCCCTCCTCCTCTGGATGAATTGGGCCGTAGTCTCATAAAGCTAACACACAGACAAGCACAGCACACTACAGGGAGATCAGCCCCTGATTACAGCCACAGAGCTGGGGAGGACAGGACAGGACTGCCAGGCTGGGGGAATTTAACATAACCACCAACAATACTTTCTATTTCTTGTTGATGCTTCTCATCTCTCTCTCTCTCTCTCTCTCTCTCTCTCTCTCTCTCTCTCTCTCTCTCTCTCTCTCTCTCTCTCTCTCTCTCTCTCTCTCTCTCTCTCTCTCTCTCTCTCTCTCTCTCTCTCTCTCTTAGTGGAGGTGTGACCCACACACACTCCATGAATGTGCAGTTGATCGTTCTGTTAGAAAATAAACCAACAAACATTCTCCAACTGAAAAGGAACTCTGAGATTCAAATTGAGGGGAAAGGAAAGTGACAATTCTCAACATCTGGAACAGTTAGAATGCACATGACGGAAAGGAATGCACTCGGTTTTAAATTTTACAGATTTTGTTTTTATTCACGTTTTACAAGTTTTGCTTTCTGTGTTACTCAAAATGGTTAATGTGATTTTAATGAGGAAATGTACCTGGGTGCTAAACCAGTGAGCTGCACTGCAGCAGCAAATGTGCTATTCTGTGATCAATGATAATTAGCAAAAGAAGAAAAAGTACTTAAATAACAACACTCAAATCAACACCAAAAGTGGTAAATTTTTCTATCAAAACATTCTCATTATGTCTCCTAAATTGCCATCAAAATTGACTCAACATTGAGTTTTGAGTGTTAAGAATGACCTACATTTTGCTTGCTCATTCTCCTAAAAATATATACTTTTTCACTCAGACTACATGAAAATAGATCCACCCATATACAGCTTTAGCCTGTCCGCTAGTTTTACACTGTCCATACTTAGTGTCAGGCTGTTCCATATCACCTTACAAATTATAGGTCTCCAAACCAACACCTTGCATATAAGGTGGAAACCAAAGGGTGAGGGCTTATAGCGAAACGCAAGAAATCAGATTTGTCTTAGAATAATATCTGGAATATCTTAGCACGTATTAAGTCCAAGGTGTTTCATTTTTGGATTGACAGTGAAGGCGCTCTAGGTAGGGGAACAAAGCAGAACAGCACAGCACATTAGTGATGTGGGAAAAAAATTTATACAGTTACATATCGCAATATTATTTTGGACGATATTATATTGATACTTTGACTCGAAGTATCGATTTGTAAAAATAAAAAGTGTACCGATAGCTTGTTCTCCATCTTCTTTTTAAATAGTGAGCCAACTCTCTTGTCTCTCTGCAGCAGACATATAGTGAGCAATATGTTTGGAACATCAAATCGCTAAAAAAATCGCAGTATCGAATCGCAATACATATCTTATCGCCACCTAAGTATCGTGATAATATTGTGAGGTCCCTGGCAATTCTCAGCCCTACAGCACATACTGTACATAATGTTAGCCTAGCCCAGAGGTGTTGGGGTGCTTTTTACAGATAGGAGCTGAGAATGATAGAACCCCAACATCCAACACCAGTCAAACGCACACCATTTCTGCAAGCCGGAACAAATGTGAGGAAGAAAGCAAGGTTATACGATACAGATGGAGTTGTAAAACCATAACTTTGGAGGGTTAATGCCTTTAAATACAATGAAGCCCTGTGGTCCTCTGTAGCTCAATTGGTAGAGCATGTCGCTTGTAACGCCAGGGTAGTGGGTTCGATCCCCATACGTAAAAATGTATGCACACACTGTAAGTCGCTTTGGATAAAAGCGTCTGCTAAATGGCATATTATTATTATAAGCCCACCCTGTATCCCCCTTTCCACCTCTCTCCCACGGGCGGGTTTTTCAGATGGATGTTTTGCTTTTCAAGTTTGATTATTTTCCCTCTTTGTTCTCATTTCAAGGACGCATGCACAGCCACTGCTCATTTGTAGGCTAAATAACATTTTCTCAATTTCCATTTTGAAGCCTACTGCTGGAGCTTTAAGTCATGGCTTTGGTTCCAGGAGGGATAGGTGGGTGGGGAGTAGGGGGGTAGGTGGTGGGTGGTGGTGTAGCTGGTGTCTTTTTGGATGGCAATTATTTAAGCAAGCGAGGAACACATGTCAGAAAGACCAAGATTTGGGAATCTGTGTGCAACCTACCTTTCCTCTCCTCTCCTCCCTCATCCTCTCTCTCTCTCTCTCTGGCTTTGAGGTTTAATTTATCCACTAACTCAAACCTACAGTATGCTAAGTATAGTTTAAATTGACACGATAACACTGAAGCCAGTTACAATTAAACCACACACCATCTCCTTTCTTTACCACACTGACTATGTAGACCTACCCTTCCTCCACTTGCTGCATGTGTAGCTACAACACTTCGGTTAGAGAACATAGCTGTTTCAGATCACACAGCCCAGCTATCCTACGCTCCTCTCCAGATCTCTCCAGGGCCCTCTCTCTCGCCTGCACTCCAAACATCATAACACAACGCTGACCAAACAAAGAGCAGCCAGCAACTACTCTTCTCTTTTCTTCTCTTCTGTTCTGTAGCAACAGATGAAATCAAAACAAACCCTTGAAGGTGTGAAAACACCGGCGCCGCGATGAGGCAACAACAACACGGTAAACAGCGAGCAGAGCGAGAGGCCAACCTCCCCCCTACATGGGTCACATCCCTCCGAGCTCCAGTGGATGCTAAACACTTGTTTTATTAGGATTTGAATATCGGCTCGCCAGCCACTGTGGGAAAATAAATGATAATCATTAATTAGAATGAATTTGTCTGTCATGCCCACAATTATTCTGTTAGCCCACAAATTGGTTATTGTTATTATGGCTGGTGTGTGTGGTGCGTGGTGAGTGACTCAGAACTTAAAATACAATTATCAAGTATACAGGAGCTGATTGGAAGCCTCTTCAAAACACCCTGCTAATTAAGATAGCTTTTGTCTGCTGGATCTCGTCTGAATCCTATCCATGATGCTGGATGACAATAAAGTTTTTCTAATTCTACTGATACTGGTTCATTATTTTTCCTTCCAAAAAATGGTAATTCAGTAAGTTAAAAAGCAGCTGTGTTTTTCTGTGTTGGAATGGTGTTAGCCTACCCAAACAACAGAATGGTGTGGGCATATACCGGTCATAAAAAAATATGAATGCAAGTAGACTGCTGATTGGCCATATCAGCCAATGAGCCAACATGGCATCATGTTCTATGAGGAAATAGCAAGCATTTTTTAAACAGTCTGTTTGAGACAGAAGTTTGAGGTTGGGTTTTGAAGTGTTTTATCTCTTTATGCTTTGGTCACAAATACGAGTATAGGACACGTCAACAACATTATTTGGGTATGAGTTAACAGAATACAAACTTTTAAAGGATTACATTTCACTGGCTTAAACCCCTGCCGCCGAGGGGGCATGTGTGATCCGGAGTCGGAAGCGTTACCACTAGACCAGACTAGGCACCTAGTTCTGATTCTAAGTCACTTGCCCTCATACCTCTCCTGAGAAGGCCTGTCCGTTGAGAAGGTGTTCAGAGCCCTGTCCGTCCTCGCTGCCGAAGTGTAGCCGGATCTCCTCCAGGCGATGGCTGTACGTCATTGGTCCACCAGAGATATTCACCAGGTGCTCCTTGTCCATTCGCAGTGAGACGTGGCGACCCGTGTTGTACATGGTCCCGCCCACCTGAGGACAGAAAGAAGGAAGAACGATCAGATTTAGTTTTCAATTAATAAACCACATTTTAACATCACAGTGTAAAATACCCACATTAGAAGTCAGTAGGGGGAGGTGTTTGACAATTTCACTGCTAACCGATCACCCCTGTTCAGAGGTTTAACAGTGGTATGCCCCCAAATACTTGAACCTACATACTATACTGCTGTCTCAGTGACATGCCTGTTTCTCTCCCCTGTCTTTTTATTGTTTGCATAACACAAAAAAACGCATTAGAATCTACAGCATTCACAGGCACTTCTGTGATTCACTACAGAGCAAATTGACCAGTGTTACCTAATGTAAATTTTTCAGTGTAACATTTCTAGTTTTGATTCAGGTGTTAAATTAACTTTGTAAATTTTTAATTAACACTCAGTGGTGTAAAATATCCCCAGTGTTGATGTTTATAACCAGTGTAAAATCAAAACCACGCCCCTCATTATCATATTTCCCAGCATGCTCTATTGCAGGTAGATTTTTTAAAATTGTTTGTTTCAATATCTATGTTTTGCATGTACGTTGATTGATTAATTAATCTTATGCTACTCAAATATGAATAATATTTTTTCTAGACTAATCCAATCTGCTACTTTGACTTATTGCACCCGTTACTGAAATGGTTGTTCCAGTTTAGATGCTTTAGGTAGTCTCATATCCTAGTTTTTCCAACCCGGCAGTCATTCTGAATGCAGGTTGTGGATGAATAAAAGTTCTGAATGTTGGTTATCCCTACTCTGGCTGGTTTCCAACACTAATTATATCGCTTTGCAAGCCGTCGTTATGTGACTTGCAGGCCTGAAAACTATGAATTTCAGGTAATCGTATTAGGGTAAAACTAGGCCCTCAAAGTAAGGCCTTATTAAATACTTGTTGTAATGTGTTTAATTTAATCGGTAACATATTCCCTTACTATTTCACTTGGTGAAGGACTAGTGATGTTACATTTGATACCGGAGCTCCAAGGCATGCGTAGAATTCGTTAAGCTGTTTAGTTTGAAGCAGTGTGCCGATGCTTGTATCGCTTTATTAGAAGCACGTGATCAATGACGTCCGAAGCGCCGTTTCGTCGAACAACCACCTGATTGGTTTGGTATTATAGACATCATCTATAATAATTTGGCTGTTCTAAATTATTTTGACCAGCAGGAACCACTAGTGTACACTGTGTTGATCAAAGCCTCAAGTAATGAACCTATTTTTGACACAATTGGCTGGAAATGCTCAATGCTTCAGGAAGCTTTGTTTCCCCCATCACTTCATAGGACTGAAAATAGATGAATGCACCAAAAACCATGTCTCTGTCACTAACAAATACAGTCATTGGTGGTAACTCTACAATTCACTCGAAAGATAAGGCACTCTGGGAAATATGCAAATAAGGCTTTTCACTAAGTGTGTTAATTTAACACTGAGAAGTTTGGACCCATATAGACACTGGACCAGTGTTAAATGTAACACTGTCAGTGTTGATTTAACACTGGAGAATTTGTTGTGTGAGTAACAGTCTCAAGCCTTAAAGTGTTACAGCGTCTAAGTACGAGAGACAACCCTTCAAAATACAAACGAGATGTGGAATTAGAGGGGAGGAGGAAGATAAAAACACACAACACGAGGAGTACGGGTTCAAAGACCGAGGCCGTCGGAATCAGCTCGGAATCGATTGGATCAGAGGCTTTAAGGGGAAATACAGCCATACAACAGCAGTGAATAACGATCAGTGGATGTGTTTATTTATTTATATTCAGTAGTTTCAAAGTGAACCGTTGGTATTGCAGGCACGATTCTACGAGAGCTTCCATAGCTCTTATCTCGTGCTTTCTTTTTTCTCTCTCTCGACTGCTCTCTCCCTCTCTCTCTTACTCCCTCTATTCCCTCTCTCCCTTCCCTTTTACCACTAGCCTTCAAAAATATCCCCCCCCCCCCCCCCTGAGAAAGAACTCTGCTCACACATCATAAATATTCTATAGAACCTCTGAAAAATCTATGATTTGAAAGGGGATAGAGAGAGTGTCAGGGAGAGAGAACGAGGGAAAGGAGGAGGGGGGCGTTGGATCAAGTGCCGACGGCAAAAAAGGTAGAGCAAAGAATGTGAAGCAGCACTTTGCAGCTCTGCTGATCTGGCCGGTTACCTCAGCGGTGTCGGAACTGCCCCTGAAAACGCTGGAATACCTCAACCCCCCTAAAGACAACTCACCTACTCAGCTCACCATTATGCATAAGGCCAAGGCTGAGGTGAATGTGTCATTGTGTGGCTTTTTCAATTCATATAGAATCACTGTGGCTGGGTAATGAGCGACGTGGGGGGATAATAGGATGAAGTTATGCAGCAATTCAAAGAAACAAGATTATACACCTCAAATATAATTATGTAATTTACGACGTTGTATGGCAGGAGGAGATTGAATACTGAATAGCCTGAAGGCTTTTCTCCCCACATCGTATCCAATGTTACACTTCTATGCAGTATGCTGCATACACACACACGGTCTGGAATAACAAGTCTTTCCATCCAATATCTGTTCCTGTGGTCGAGTGCACATCCCAGGGTAAATGGCTAAAGGCAACAGGGTAAAAAGCGAGGCTAGTTGAGTGTGTATTGAGCTGGGCAAGGAGAGAGAAGTGATTGTGTATGGGTATCTGTCTCATAGTGATGTGCTGATAGGAGTAGAGAAACCCTCTAGACACTGGTCTAAGGTTGCATTTATCCCTCTAATGGTAATGGTTATGATTTGACAAGGAAACTGATCCTTGATCTGTGCCTAATGGTCAATTGTAGCCAAAGTGCAGTGATATGGAATTGAAGTTCAGCTATAGATAGCCAAACCAACTCTTCTACCATTAAAAGACAGAGGCTATTATATCACTTGAAAATACAGTTGCTAACTTCCACAGCCATCCAACATCTATACAGCAATGTGTTGTGTATGAATTATGCTATCATGTAACACGGCCCAGACATCATCAACAGAATCCACTGAGCTATTTCACTCCACATCTCACGCCATAATTTGTATTAATGAATTCAAAATCATATGAGTAAATGCTTTAATGCACTTTAATATCTTAACTTCACAGTTTTATATACGATGTCCCGTGTTGCCTTGACAGGTCTAATAGCCATGGGAACCAGCCTGTTTATGACTGCTCAGCTTTAAAGAGGGAACATTTTCGTTTTTATTTCATTTTGTGTGTATTTATGTGTGGTGTGTGTGTGTTGATATGTTGACTCACACAAAAACACAAACACATTGATAGTAAACTACTGACTATTAGACTCATCAAAAGTATGTTTTGTGACTTCAGACAAGTTCTTCTCACGAGGCACAAGAAAGAGAATGACAATCTGGATTGAGAATACCAACACAGCGTGTCATCCAAACCAAAGCATCCATCTTCCATATCAAACCACAATCATACTAACATCTCCAGTAAACAACATCTCTACTGTGGTTTCCTGACAGCTGACATTTCTGTTCTCTCTTAGACAAGGAAGTTGGTTTCAATACCACAGGTGTATACTAGCCAACAGGAGAGAACAACAATCAGCAGTGTGTGTTAGGGGAGGGGAGTGTTTGTACCCAATTGCTTGTGTGCATTTGATCAAATAGCTTTATTCTATAGTACCACTCCAGGGAGGGAGGGAGGGAGAAGAGGAGAAAGGGAAGGAAGATCATCCTCACAGGAGATAGGGGAGGAGGGATGGAGAGAGAGAGAATGAGAGAGAGAAATTGGGAATGGGAGCATTTTTAAAAGGATCCTCTCGACAACTGAAAATTGAAAAGTTCATTAAAATGGTCAAACTATTATTTTCCCCAAGCTTCATCTCTCCTTCTCTAACTCGCTGGATTTGTTCAATCAGAAAACCTAACATGTTTTTAATTTGTTCATTGATGTTTTCTACAGATGACAGGAGACTCTAAAGCCAATTAAGCTGTAATGATGATCACGACAAGGCAATAATGTATTCAAGGTAATCATTCCGACAAGGTAAACAGGTTATAAAGGAGATTGCTGTGTGTGTGTCTAGGGGGCCTGATACTGTATTACCAGCTCAGATACAATATCAATAATATGAAACGGCAACATCACAGTAATGAGAAAAAAAGAACAATCATGTCTACTAAACACACAGATCAATATGGTGATATTGATACAAGATGATCCTATATGTTCTATTATTATGATTTCCAGCATTCCATATGTTGTATCATTATGAACATAATGGCACACAGCTAATGTTGCTGGTAAATGTATGAACTGGACCATAACCATTACTCCAGAAGCCATGGATTACAGGCAACATCCACACTGAGCTAAATGCTAGAGCTGTCGCTTTCAAGGAGCAGGACACTAATCCGGACAATTATAAGAAATCCCTCATGCGCTGAACACCTGGCAAGAGACTTCACTGACATTTTCAACCTCTCTCTGATCCAGTCTGTAATATCTACAGGTTTCAAGCAAACCACCATAGTCCCTGTGCCTAAGAACGCCAAGATAACCTATCTAAATGACTACCGCCCCATAGCACTCACATCTGTAGCCATGAAATGCTTTGAAAGGCTGGTTATGGCTCACATCAACACCATCATCCCAGAAATCCTGGACCCACTCCAATTTGCATACCGCCCCAACAGATCCATAGATAACGCAATCTCTATTGCACTCCACACTGCCCTTTCCCATTTGGACAAAAGGAACACCTACGTGAGAATGCTGTTCATTGATTACAGCTCAGCATTCAACACCATTGAGCTATCCAAGCTCATCACTAAGCTAAGGACCCTGGGACTGAACACCTCCCTCTGCAACTGGATCCTGGACTTCCTGACGGGACGCCCCCAGGTGGTGAGGGTAGGCAACAACACATCCGCCATGCTGACCCTCAACACGGGGGCCCCTCAGGTGTGCGTGCTCAGTCCCTCCTGTACTCCCTGTTCACCCACGACTGCGTGACAGCGCACGACTCCAACACCATCATTAAGTTTGCCGACGACGCGACTGTGGTAGGCCTGATCACAGACGGCGATGCGACAGCCTATAGGGAGGAAGTCAGAGACCTGGCAGTGTGGTGCCAAGACAACAACCCCTCCCTCAATGTGGGCAAGACAAAGGAGCTTATTGTGGACTACAGGAACCAGAGGGCCGAACACGCCCCCATTCACATCGACGGGGCTCTAGCGGAGTGGGTCAAGAGCTTCAAGTTCTTTGGTGTCCACATCACTAAGGACCTATTATGGTCCAAACACACTAACACAGTCAAAACTAACCCAAAACTTTACACAACGTTAGACACGGACACGAATGATCTGTTTGGCGTGTTAACACACTGGTGGTTTGTTGTAACCGATTATTGGTGCTAAACCGTGTTATTGGAGGCTGGCATGCTAGTTGGCTATGGCGTCATAGGATTCGGTGCCCTGGACGGTTTTCACGGAAGAATACTGTACCAAGTTAGCTAGCTGAATAAACTAAGTTAGAAAACATTGAACCGCTGTAGTTTACAACAATTATAATTTCTAAAGTGGAAGTTGGGAGAGTTATATTTGAGTGTTTCAGTGAAATGTAAGTGAGGGAGGCCCCGCTCTCTCGCTTTCCCAGATGTTTAGTTCATTTCATTCTGATCACCTTTGCATTATTGTAGCTTTTTCTGTAGCCTGTCAACTATGTGTCTGTCTATCCCTGTTCTCTCCTCTCTACACAGGCCATACAAACGCTTCACACCGCGTGGCTGCTGCCACTCTAATCTGGTGGTCCCTGCACGCACGACCCACGTGGAGTTCCAGGTCTCCGGCAGCCTCTGGAACTGCCGTTCTGCGGCCAACAAGGCAGAGTTAATCTCAGCCTATGCTACCCTCCAGTCCCCCGACTTCTTGGCGCTGACGGAAACATGGATTACCACAGAAAACACTGCTACTCCTACTGCTCTTTCCTTGTCTGACCATGTTTCTAGCATACCCCGAAAGCATCTGGTCAGCGCGGCGGTGGCACAGGAATCCTCATCTCTCCCAAGTGGACATTCTGTCTTTTTCCCCTGACCCATCTGTCTATCTCCTCATTTGAATTCCATGCTGTCACAGTCACTAGCCCATTCAAGTTAACATCCTTGTCATTTATCGCCCTCCAGGTTCCCTTGGAGAGTTCATCAATGAGCTTGACGCCTTGATAAGTTCCTTTCCGGAGGATGGCTCACCCCTCACAGTTCTGGGTGACTTTAACCTCCCTACATCTGCCTTTGACTCATTTCTCTCTGCCTCCTTCTTTCCACTCCTTTCCTCTTTTGACCTCACCCTCTCACCGTACCCCCCTACTCACAAGGCAGGCAATACGCTTGACCTCATCTTTACTAGATGCTGTTCTTCTACTAATCTCACTGCAACTACCATCCAAGTCTCTGACCACTACTTTGTATCCTTTTCTCTCTCACTCTCCTCCAACACTACTCACTCTGCCCCTACTCAGATGGTAATGTGCCGTCGCAACCTTCGCTCTCTCTCTCCCACTACTCTCTCCTCTTCCATCCTATCATCTCTTCCCTCTGCTAAATCCTTCTCCCTCCAATCTCCTGATTCTGCCTCCTCAACCCTCCTCTCCTCCCTTTCTGCATCTTTTGACTCTCTATGTCCCCTATCCTCCCGGCCGGCTCGGTCCTCCCCTCCTGCTCCGTGGCTTGACGACTCATTGCAAGCTCGCAGAAGAGGGCTCCGGGTAGCCGAGCGGAAATGGAGAAAAACTAGACTCCCTGCGGACCTGTCATCTTTTCACTCCCTCCTCTCTACATTCTCTTCCTTTGTTTCCGCTGCTAAAGCCACTTTCTACCACTCTAAATGTCAAGCCTCTGCCTCTTATCCTAGGAAGCTCTTTGCCACCTTCTCCTCCCTGCTGAATCCTCCTCCTCCTCCCTCCTCCCTCTCTGTGGATGACTTCGTCAACCATTTTGAAAAGAAGGTTGACGACATCTGATCCTCATTTATTAAGTCAAATGACACCGCTGGTCCTGCTCACACTGCCCTACCCTATGCTTTGACTTCTTTCTCCCCTCTCTCTCCAGAAGAAATCTTGCGACTTGTGACGGCCGGCCGCCCAACAACCTGCCCGCTTGACCCTATCCCCTCCTCTCTTCTCCAGACCATTTCCGGAGACCTTCTCCCTTACCTCACCTCGCTCATCAACTCATCCTTGACCGCTGGCCATGTCCCTTCCGTCTTCAAGAGAGCGAGAGTTGCACCCCTCCTCAAAAATCTACACTGGATCCCTCCGATGTCAACAACTACAGACCAGTATCCCTTCTTTCTTTTCTCTCCAAAACTCTTGAGCGTGCCGTCTCTAGCCAACTCTCCTGCTATCTATCTCAGAATGACCTTCTTGATCCAAACCAGTCAGGTTTCAAGACTGGTCATTCAACTGAGACTGCTCGTCTCTGTGTCACGGAGGCTCTCCACACTGCTAAAGCTAACTCTCTCTCCTCTGCTCTTATCCTTCTAGACCTATCTGCTGCCTTCGATACTGTGAACCATCAGATCCTCCTCTCCACCCTCTTCGAGTTGGACATCTCCGGCGCTGCTCACTCTTGGATTGCATCCTACCTGACAGGTCGCTCCTACCAGGTGGCGTGGCGAGAATCTGTCTCCGCACCACATGCTCTCACCACTGGTGTCCCCCAGGGCTCAGTTCTAGGTCCTCTCCTATTCTCTCCATACACCAAGTCACTTGGCTCTGTCATATCCTCACATGGTCTCTCCTATCATTGCTACACAGACGACACACAATTCATTTTCTCCATTCCCCTTTCTGATAACCAGGTGGCGAATCGCATCTCTGCATGTCTGGCAGAAATATCATTGTGGATGTTGGATCACCACCTCAAGCTGAACCTCGGCAAGACGGAGCTGCTCTTCCTCCCGGGGAAGGACTGCCCGCTCCATGATCTCGCCATCACGGTTGACAACTCCATTGTGTCCTCCTCCCAGAGTGCAAAGAACCTTGGCGTGACCCTGGACAACACCCTGTCGTTCTCCGCTAACATCAAAGCGGTGACCCGATCCTACAGGTTCATGCTCTACAACATTCTTAGAGTACGACCCTACCTTACACAGAAAGCGGCACAGGTCCTAATCCAGGCACTTGTCATCTCCCGTCTGGATTACTGAAACTCACTGTTGGCTGGGCTCCCTGCCTGTGTTATTAAACCCCTACAACTTAACCAGAACGCTGCAGCCTGTCTGGTGTTCAACCTTCCCAAGTTCTCTCATGTCACCCCGCTCCTCCGCACACTCCACTGGCTTCCAGTTGAGGCTCGCATGTACTACAAGACCATGGTGCTTGCCTACAGAGCTGTGAGGGGAACGGCACCTCCTTACCTTCAGGCTCTGACCAGACCCTACACCCAAATGAGGGCACTACGTTCATCCACCTCTGGCCTGCTAGCTCCCCTACCTCTACGGAAGCACAGTTCCCACTCAGCCCAGTCAAAGTTATTCGCTGCTCTGGCACCCCAATGGTGGAACAAGCTCCCCCACGACGCCAGGACAGCGGAGTCACTGACCACCTTCTGGAGACACTTGAAACCCTACCTCTTTAAGGAATACCTGGAATAGTATAAAGTAATCCTTCTTCCCCCACCCTCCATATAAAAAAAAGAAGGTGGTTGTTCCACTGGCTATCATAAGTTGAATGCACCAATGTGTAAGTCGCTCTGGATAAGAGTGTCTGCTAAATGATGTAAATGTAAATGTAAGAGAGCACGACAACGCCTCTTCCCCCTCAGGAGGCTGAAAAGATTTGGCATGGGCCCTCAGATCCTCAAAAAGTTATACAGCTGCACCATTGAGAGCATCTTGACTGGCTGCATCACCACTTGGTATGGCAACTGCTCGGTATCCAACAGCAAGGCGCTACAGAGGGTAGTGCCTACGGCCCAATACATCACTGGGGCCGAACTCCCTGCATTCAGGACCTTTATACCAGGCGGTCAGAGTAAGGCCCCTAAAAATTGTTAAAGACTCCAGCCACCCAAGATTTAGACTGTTCACTCTGCTACGGCAAGCGGTACCGGCGCGCCAAGTCTCGGACCAAAAGGTACCTGAACAGCTTCTACCCCCAAGCCATAAGACTGCTGAACAGTTAATCGAAACGCTACCCGAACAATTTACATTGACCCCCTTTATTATTTGTTTTAATTGTTTTCCACTGACTCCCTTGCACTGGCTCTATGCACACTCACTAGACTCTACCCACACACTCACATATACTACACTGACACTCCAACACACACACACCTGAATATTGACGCCACACACATACACTCACACATAGACACACTTTCACACTTCACATAAGCTGCTGCTACTCTGTTTATTATATATGCTGATTGCCTAGTCACTTTTACCCCTACCCACATGTACTGTACTACCTCAATTATCCCAACTACCTCGTGCCCCTGCACATTGACTCTGTACTGGGTACTCCTTGTACAGTGCCTTCTGTAGCTCAGCTAGTAGAGCACGGCGCTTGTAATGCCAAGGTAGTGGGTTCGATCCCCGGGACCACCCATACACAAAAATGTATGCACGCATGACTGTAAGTCGCTTTGGATAAAAGCGTCTGATAAATGGCATATTATTATATTATAAAGTATTCACTCCCCTTGATATTTCCAAATGTTGTTGTGTTACAACCTGAATTTAAAATGGATTAAATTGAGATTTGTACCCCATAATGTCAAAGTGGAATCATGTTGTTTTTTTACACATGAATTAAAAATGAAAAGCTGAAATGTCTTGAGTCAATAAGTATTCAACCCTTTTGTTATGGCAAGCGTAAATACGTTCAGGAGTAAATATGTGCTTAACAAGTCACATAACAAGTTGCATGGACTCAATCTGTGTGCAATAATAGTATTTAACATGATTGTGAATGACTACCTCATCTCTGTACCCCACACATACAATTATCTGTAAGGTCCCTCAGCCGAGCAGTGAATTTCAAACACAGATCCAACCACAAAGACCAGAGAGGTTTGCCAGCGCCTCGGAAAGAAGGGCACCTATTGGTAGATGGGTAAAAAAAAAAAAAGTTGACATTGAATATCCCTTTGAGCATGGTAAAGTTATGAATTACACGTTGGATGTTGTATCAATATGCCCAGTCACTACAAAGATACAGGCGTCCTTCCTAACTAAGTTGCCGGAGAGGAAGGAAACCACTCAGGGATTTCACCATGAGGCCAATGGTGACTTTAAAACAGTTACAGAGTTTAATGGCTGTGATAGGAGAAAACTGTTGATGGATCAACAACACTGTAGTTACTCCACAATACTAACCTAATTGACAGAATGAAAATAAGGAAGCCTGTACAAAATAAAAATAGTCCAAAACATGCATCCTGTTTGCAACAAGGCAACAAGTAATACTGCAAATAATGTGGCAAAGCAATTCACTTTTTGTTCTGAATACAAAGGTTTATGTAGTGGTGGCTGCATCATGTTATGGGTATGCTTATAATTGTTAAGGACTGGGGAGTTTTTCCAGGATAAAAAAGAAACAGAATGGAGCTAAGCACAGGCAAAATCCTAGAGGACAATCTGGTTCAGTCTGCTGTCCACCAGACACTGGGAGATCATTTCCCCTTTCAGCTGGACAATAACCTAAAACACAAGGCCAAATCTACACTGGAGTTGCTTACCAAGAAGACAGTGAATGTTCCTGAGTCGCCGAGTTACAGTTTTTACTTAAATCTACTTGAAAATCTATGGCAAGACCTGAAAGTGGTTGTCTAGCAATGATCAACAACCAATTTGACACAGCTTTAATAATTTTGAAAAGAATAATGGGCAAATGTTGCACAATCCAGGTGTGGAATAAGTCAAGGGGTATGAATACTTTCTGAAGGCAAAAAACAATAGCCTCGTTATTTTTTTTTATTGTGTTACTATTTCCTTTGTTCTTCAGCAAATATTTGTCTTACTTTTATCTCTGCATTTTTGGGAATGGGCTCATAAGTAAGAATTTCACTGTAAAGTCTACACCTGTTGTATTCGGCGTATGTGACCAAAAACATTTGATTTGATTAGAATAAGATAAACAGAACAATCATGTCTACTAAAAACACAGATGAATATGGTGATATTGATACAAGATGATCCAATATGTTCTACTATTATGATTACCAGAATTCCATATGTTGTATCCTTATTAACATAATGGCTATTGTAGCTGGTGCATATATGAAGGTGACTGCGAAAAAAGATGTTAACCGTTTTACATTTGTAATTTCAATAACTTCATTTCAATAAAAACCTTGAACCCACCTGTCCCTGACTTTTCTTAAATATGTGTGTTTTACACTAGCAGTACTTTCTGATAAATATCATAAAAGACAAAAACTTTCTAAGCATTTAATTCTCAAAGCGCCATCACGGTCAAAATGGCTGTATACATATTTACCAATAGCCACCAGTCTAATAAATCCATTTAACTAGAAAAGCCTGTCCTCGTTGGACCCCCCTTTGTGCCAATGCCATTTGGTTATGTTTATGACGGTCTTACAACTATGAAACAAAAAGCATGTGTGTTGAAACAAAGTAACCGCTTATTTTTATAACGAAAACAAAACACCCAAACCGCAAGACACGCAGTCAATGAAGAAAATATACAAAAATATCAGTAGCTTAAACATCAGTATAAGCACCAAGAGTGCTTGTGAATAGTGAAAATCAGCACAAAATCAAATGGCATTATAATTAATATCAATGTCAATATGACAGCAGTCACAAATAGTATATTATTGTCAGTTATTGGACACATTATTTGTGGCCTCGCTCGTGCTTACAGTATGGTGTGCGTCTTCACGCAACAGTTGGATCTCATTTAGCTGTTATCCCTTGTCATAACAGTCCCCACAAATCTTCGTCACTTTCACTTGATTGCAACACTTCCCACAAACAAGTCGCGTGTAGCTGAAACAGGTGTAGTGGGTTCTGTTCGGTGTACATCTGCCCACCTTACAGTTTGTCCTCCCCAGGAGCTGTGCGCAATTTGGCTCGTGCAATGGCTCACGTGGAATCTTTGCTGCTGCTACTGCTGTCTTGGTCCTCGTATGTCTTTTACGTAGCCTGTGTGCCAGACTCATGATGAAGTCTTTCCTGCTCATAGTGTTGTTCATGCACTGCTTGAACAACACGTGTGCATCAGTGGCGTTTGGTGCTGTTTAAGATGAGGGAGGATAAAGAAATGACAGCATATTGGATGACTGTCATTCATATTCCATTTACCCAGCTCAATGTAACATCGATGTCAAGTCCTCCACTTGTTCACCATCCAAAGGACACAGGGACAACTCAAATTTCTGACTCAATCTTTTTTATTTTTAGTTTGCTTACAGTTGATTGGTCTGTCCAGTAAATTAGCCAGTAAATTAGGTTGTAAACCTTTAAAGACAGAACAAAAAGTTATCATTTTAATTAAACATTTTAATTAACTTAAATGAATTAACCATTTACCATTGGCGTCTTTGGACTGAACCTGTGAGTGAACTTGGAGTCATGACTGAGCCCCTCCATGCCTTCACAGGTGCTCCAAATCAGTGAAAATGACTGATCAGGTGAGAAGCAGCCGGTTTGCTGCTGCTGGTGCACTCTGGGAAGTGTAGTTCTTTGACTCACTCCTGAGATTCAGCTCAACACCTCCCACTTGAGCTCCTGGTTCTTTCAAATCCAGAGAGGTCACACAAGCCCTTCCCACCTCTGTTTGTTCATCAATGGGAAGTAGAATGACAAGGCGTCTGACATCTCTATGAAGAATTGTGGCTGGGATTTTGGTTTGAGGCCTCTTCGCTCTTTCACCGTTTGCTCTTGTGGGCCCTTTTTTGCTGTTTGACTTTGTGATGTGAACAGGATAGCTGGGAAAAGTCTTCACAAGCACATCTCTTACGATGCCTTTGCTGTCAGCATTGACACCGACCACTCTAGCCAGCTTGTACTGTCCTCTTAGGGCGTTTTGGTCAGCCAACCAGACCACATCTCCAACAGCAACATTTCGCTCTTTGGTGTGCCATTTGTTCCTTATGAACAGATTAGGTCCAGCCAATTGGCTCCACTTCTTCCAGAAATGGCTTAACTCTGCTTGAATATGTTTAAGTATTTTGTAAGGGTAGCCATCAAACTGGAAATCTCCAGGGTCTCCCTTTGGATTGGTACGTCCTAAAAGCAGAGAATTCGGGGGTGATGTACTCTACACAGTCTTCTCTGCTTTGAGTTCTTGCATCGATGGGTCTCTCATTAGCAAGATTGGCTGCCATGAAGAGAAAAGTTTGGAATTCTCCCCACGTGAAAACACCATCTCCACCAAGGTTGCTCAACGCCCGCTTCACTACTTTGACAGCTGCCTCTGCGGCACCATTCCTATGGGGAGAGTCTGCAGGGTGGATCTTCCATGACCATTCTGTACCATGCTTGGCAGCTGTGTCTTCAAGTTCAGACTTGTTTAGTTGGTTAAGGAATTTTTTAAGTGCGGGTTTGGCTCCCACAAAGTTAGTGCCAGGGTCTGACCAGAGTTTCCTGGGGTGTCCTCTCAGTGAAGTGAACCTTTGATAGGCTAGCAGGAATCCTTCATATGACATGTCACTCACCACTTCAGTGTGTATGGCTCGGGAAGCCATGCAGCAGAAGACTATTCCCCATACTTTGAGTCTAGTTCTCTTCTTGACCTCATCTTTCACTTCATAAGGGCCGAACAGGTCCATGGTGGTGAATTCAAAAGGTGCAGCTGGGCCTGTTCGCTCTAGAGGCAGGTCAGCCATGATTTGTTGACACTGTTTTTTCTTGTTTTTCCTGCAGACCACACAGCTGTCAACCATTTTCTTGGCAAGTCTACAGCCTTTTATTACCCAGGCTTTCTTCCTCATCCGGAGAAGGGTTCCCGTCACTCCCTCGTGGTTTGCTTTGTGGGATTCTTGTGCCAGCAGTGTAGACACCCATGCTTCAAAGGGTAAAACTGGCACTGCTGTCTTATCTTCGTTGAATGTCTGAATTCTGCCTCCACAAACTAGCAGCCCAGAGTTCACATCTTTGTACACTGTCAGTCTGCTTAGAGTTGTGTATGAAAAATCTGTACCTTCTTGAGCTGCGAGGAAAAGGTCTTTGAGTGCATCTTTGACAGTCTTCATGTTCTTTGACAGTCAGCACAGCTTGCTTGGGTGATCTTACCTCCCTCTTTGCCTGTTTAGGGGCCCGGCCCTTCCTCTTCAGCCACTGCTTGGCTGCTAGACAAACCCAGGCAACGACTCTCACCAGTTTGGACAGGCTACTGAATCTTCTTACTTCCACAAGATCTTTAACCCAGCCAGTGGGCTTCCTTCTAAGAAGAGTTGGGTTTACCACAGGTATTCCCTCTTGAGTTTCACTCTTTGGACTTTCCTGAGTGCCTTGTAGGTCTTCTTTCTGCTGACTACTTCTTGCTTGAGCTTTTGTTAATGCACCTGAGAATGCCTTCCTCTGGAGCTTGTTTACACTCTCCCTGGCATGAGCTGCAACCTCTCCAGCTGATTTTATAGGCCACTCCTCCACTGGCCACTTTAGGAACTCTGGTCCATTTTGCCATGTGGAATTCTCCTTCAAATCTTCAGGAGCACCCCCTCTTGTTATGCATATTATTGTTATGATGTCAGCTATGTTTAGATCCCCACGGATCCACCACCAGTCTTGCACTTGTCTAGCCTTCTGGATTTCACCCACTCTATTTGCAAAGAAGGTTTTGTACCCATAACTGACTCTTTGAATGGCTCCCAAGACCGTTTGACTGTCAAGTAGATGGAACCATCTCTCGATCTTCATTCGAGCATGCTTTTCCACATACTTCCTGATCCTGGCTGGGAAGACAGCACCACAGATCTCAGCTTTTACAGCTTCTCCCTTCTGATCCAGGGGTGTCAGCTTGGCTTTTGATTCAACGAATCGAACTTTAGTGCCTTGACTTGTCTCCCATCTTAACCCTCCCGTTGTCCTAGGGTCAAAATGACCCGCCACTGTGTTGAACCAACTTTATTTAATTTTTATATTTTTGGGATCATTTGTGAGAAGGAGGCAGTGAGACTTTAAAGAAAGTATCGCTGCCTCCTTCTCACAAATGATCCAAAAAATATAAAAATTAAATAAAGTTGGTTCAACACAGTGGCGGGTCATTTTGACCCTAGGACAACGGGAGGGTTAAGTACATCACAGCTCCATAGGTTTTGTCACTTCCATCAGAGAATGTGATGCCCCTGTGGAATTTCACCTCTCCAAGCTGCACATATTCTTCAAAAAGCTGGATGGCTTCTTCTCTGAGGCTTTCTGAGAGAGGTTGGTCACAGGTTTCTTGGGTTAGTTTCCCATCCCCTCCCTCTTGGAATGCTTTTCGAACAAGAATTGCTCCCTTCTGTTTGGCAGGTGTAACTAAGCCAATTGGGTCGTACAGTCCAGCCACTTGGCTTAAGAGAGCCCTCCTAGTCAGTGGGTTAGGTGTCTCAGTTCTCACCTCCTCCTTGAGAAGATTTTTTCCAACTCTCATCTTCTTTTTCCTTTTGGAAAAGTTAACTGAGGTTACCATGTAGAGCTTGTCTTCATCCATTTGGTAGCCGATACCCAAGGCTTTGTTGTCTTCGTCCCTCATTTGATTTGGAATAATTAAGGTTTTACTTTGTGTCTTTGTTAGAACCTCCATCTCCATTCCTTGCCTCCCACTTTGCCCTGACCAGACCCATGGTTTGAGGACGAACCCTCCAGCTTTCAAGATCTCTTCGACATTTGCTGTGATCTTGTCAAGTTTATTCAGGTCATTTTGGGAGGTTAAGAGGTCATCTACATAACTGTCCTCTTCAATGACTCTGCGCTCATCCTCCAAGTGAAGAAAGTTGGGCAGGCGTGCTGTTTCCCTCATAGCCAACTGAGCAATGCAACCAGCAGGTCTGTCCCCAATGTTGACTCTGGTTATTGCATATTCACTTATCTCTTCATCTGAGCTGTCCCTCCAGAGGAACCTGTGAAGATGCATCTCACGCTCCTCCAGCCATACAGAGTTGTACATCTTTTTGATGTCTCCTAGAGATGCATACGTCCCTTCTCTGAACCTCAGCAAGACAGCTCTTATAGGATTGAGAACGTCTGGTCCCTTCAGAAGAAGATCATTCATACCCACGCCTTTGTATTTCTGGCTACTATTCCATACAATACGAACCGGTGTTGTCACCGAATGAGGGTTCGGTGCCACCAGGTGGCTTACGTACCACACTGGTCCGTTCCACTCGTCCATGACTTTGTTGGTGAGTTTTATGGCTGCGCCTCGCTCGACCATTTCATGGATCTGGGTAGCATATGCGACTTTCCAGTCTGGCTCTCTGCTTAGTTGCTTTTCCATCCTTAAGAAACAAGCCTGGACTGCACTTTTGTTGTTCGGGAGAGAGGCTGGATCTACCGTCCAAGGATACTTTGCATCCCAATGTGGAGCCGGTGTGTGAGCATCCCCCTTCTTGTAGGTGAGGCCTTCTTTAATGATCTCCAGTTCCCTCTCCTCTGCCAGGGTCATTTCCTTTCCTCCTGGTGGACAGTTTCCACATCGGCATCCTCCACATCTTGGCTCACATGCAGCTCCGATGCTGTCCCAGTGCCACCACACAAGGAACTCACGGTTACTGGCAGCTGTAAATTTGGTTTGAGTCACATCCTCCTGCTGTAGCTGGGCTGTGTCAGTTGTTGGACTTGTGATTTCTTGATATTTGACAGCTGCTGTCCTCATGGAGCGAGCGAAGTGTGTTTTGGACTCATATGCTGCAACCTCCACTTCTTCAAATAAGTCGGGATGTGCTCCACCCACTGTTTTCCCCAATGGACCCTCCCACAAGACGAGGTCTCCGATGATTTTTACCCTCTGGGGAGCGAGTCTTCCCTCTCGGTGGCTAATGAGAAGTTCAACCTCTTCTGGCCTTTCCAATTCTGTAAGTTTGACTTCTGGGAAGAATTCTTTCAACTTCTCAGGTTCAATTACTTGATGCACTCTGGCGATTTCATCCAAGCCGTAGCAGACCATTTCATGAGCTCTCTCTGTCCCTTTAGGTGTCTTGACTCTGACTTTGAGGAGATACCTTTGTGTGTTCACCTCCATGGTCATACCACCAACCCCATGCACAACTCAAGTTATCTTCTCATGTCTTAACCTCAGTCTTTCAGCAGCCTTATGGGTAATGTAGTTTGTGTCTGAAGCAAGGTCAATTAAAGTCCCAATCTTCTGCCCTGCGTTTGCCGTGACTTGGATCAACATCATGATGACAGGAAGTTCAGAAAGCCCATTTCTCTGCGGTAGCTCAGACTGGCCTGAAGCATCGAGTGTCACTGCGGTTTTGTTGGTGTTGGTGAAAGCCTTTCTGCATCGATCTGCCATTTCCTGGGAAAGTTCAGACAAGATCTCCTCTTGTTCCTCCGTTAGCTTGCTTTCACCTTTGCCGTCTTTTCCACTCTTTCTCTCTTCCCCTCTTTTGACTTCTCCTTTTGGGCAGAGGAAAACATGGTGGTCTGGGGCACCACCTTCC